CATCCATCTAGGCTTGCTAGCCTGGTCAGTCGCAAAACTCATGGTGAACTATTAGGTGTTTGAACTGTTCCGATTCACTCTGTGAAAGTGTCACAACTGATTCGTCTCTTTTCGTTCGAACCACTTGGCACATCGTACCAGTACACATTTCCAACGATTCTTGACACGTGCACTTTTTTCAAACGCAAAGTTCACCAGCACTCCGACAATTAGCCGTTGATGCACTGAATACCGTATAAACGATATGTCTGTGTATACATGCTCTACGGCTTTCTAGAATGGCCGTGATGTCCTTTAAAAACACAAGTTTATTGCTGACCAAAATCAGTTCAGTGTAGTTGTGCTTGTTCAATTCACTTTCCTCTCCTTTCTCATCACGAATGGATGTCTCGCCATCCATTCGTCCTCATTGCTTCGTCTCTTCTAATAAATTCTTCGTGCTTTCTATTACGAAGTCGATGTGCTTATACATTAGAAAAGAGCTCAATCCATGATATTTTGAATCTAACGTCAGGACAATCAATCAAGAAGCCAAGAAAATGACCTCTTCGGGCCGAGGACAATAATCTGCACTACATCTTGGTTGACCTTGCAACTGACCTTTTACAACGTTTGAAAAGAGTTTTGTTCGCTTTAGCCATCTCGGTACTTCGCCCATTTGCATGTTAGTTGGATTTTTCAATTGCTCTTTTAACTTGCCATCTTCCTCGATTTCTCAGACTGCTAGGTGCAGTCATTGAGGGACGTATTTACTGGCTTCTCTCTATCATGCGACGCATCACACGTACGGATTAAAGCTGACGAAAACTCGATGCACGAGCTCTGACGCATATGTTGAGTCATACTTGTTGAGCAAAATTCAGTAAAATCCCGGAACTTGGCTGCCACGTTCTTTCTGATGACTCATATATGGGGGTGCATTCTTGAAAATTCGAGAAACTGTCGCAAATGCATTTAAGACATTTCAAGTGTTGTTCATATTAAAGGAGTCGGCTAAAACCGTTTCAGCTGTCGCAGATAGCTTCACTTGCATATGTGCTAAAATATTTGCCAATATACAAGCTTAATTGTCAAATCTAGTCCCGGTTTCTAGATTTACTTATCAAAAACACTTTTCTCACTGTTTGAATGATCCGTTAAGGCTTTGCATTGACATTTTATCAGCTGCCATTTGCCTATCTAACGATGCCTTTTCTAAGATTACAGAATTACAGATCATATTCAGTTTCACCCATTTAGCATGTTAAGGAGAAGTAGTCGGGTTGTTCAAAGAATCTTAGCCAATACGGTGTAGACCAGACTAAGGCCGTTTGCCAGAGTGTAGAAAATCGCTGGATTTTGTTCTCGAAAAACACCACATTCACCGCGTGGTAGCCTCACCTCGGTCAGTGTGTTACTGCTGACGATCATGTCCGAAAAGCTCTGGACAAAACGTTCCGTACAGAATTCATCCAGGTTTTGCGGACTTCTTGGCGGCATATTTGCCCATATATTCGGGTGTTAGTCGCG